ACTTGGGGGAAAAAAACTTTTAGCGACGGGACATGGGCGGGCGCCAGATGCCACAACCTACCACCGGAAACGTGATCAGGCGCCCGCCCTTGCCCCGCGGTTTCCGAAAACTAGTACCTCGGAGGTATTAGTTTTTTACCCCGCATCTTCGGCGGGAAGCCTCAGGTTCGCCACGGGAGCTCTACGCTTCCCAGATGTGGCGCTGTGATCGTGCCTGGAAAATCCGCCTATCCTCCGTCTCTGTAGCGTGGCTAATGCTCCGTGTGACCGCAGCCTATATAATCTACTTCGCCCCAGATCACAAAAACAAAATCTGAGGGGGGCAGGAATACCAAAGAAACGTCCAGTCCTGATCCCTGAGGGCATGGATTGAAATCTTAAAGCCGTAAAAGCTTATCTTAACTCCAGGGTGGTTAACTTCTCCAAGAAAGGGGACCTACTGTGATCCCTTTTAAAAAAAACTTAAATAATGGTACTGTAAGACAACGTGCCATCACGTCCTGATCCATAAGCCCATCCTTTTTGAACACCCATTCTTTCAATTCCCATATTTGGGTTTTTCCCTTTAATAGATCATCAGGAATTGAAAATTTCAATTGAGCCGAAGCCAAATACTTCAAGATCTCTGTGTGTGTGGTGGGTGGCTCAAGGAAAGAAAAAAGAAAGTCATACCGGCAGCCTGTTTTGTTCCTCATCAGCTGACGGCGGGACCCTCCCACCGGAGCAGATGATGGAGTGCCCGAGACCCTCATGCAAATCTTTGATCGCAGTAATTATCCTCCACTGAAGTGTACAAAACACTTTATCTGCCAGCTGAAATCAACCTCCCTCTGCACAGGCCTTTCTCCCTGCTGCCCCTCGGTATCTCCTGCGGTTCTGCTCTCCCCTATCTGATCCAATGTAAACACTCTATCACTGTCACCCCTGGCAGAATTTCCATTTCCCTTTTGACGCAGTGACGGGATGTGGAAAGCGACTCTTCTCTGGGTAGCTTTGATCAAAATGACGGGACGTGGGGCGGGCGGAGGGAGGCGGGGGGGTTTTGAAACGCAGCGGAAACCAGAAGTTCCCGATCTGTAGGTAGGAGACAGTTCAAGGATAACTCAAGCATCGTTTAGCAACCACGGTTTTCTTCTAAAAATTTTTAAATAATATAATCAAAAGGGGGTTGAGGCGGAGGCCCCAAAGAAAATATTTTTCCATCTCCCCCCTTCTTATTTTCCTTTCATATTTTTCTTCCTAGCTCGCTAGCTTCGTTAGAGCTCTCCAGCTCTGCGTCTAAGATAAAAACAGAGGATGAGAGATTAAAGACAACACATGCAACCAAAGCGAGCCTTTCACAGCCAGCAGAGAACAGAAAGTTGCACGAGGGAGATGAAGGCGCCAGCTCAAGAGTTACACTTTGGAACCCCAGGAAACAGGAAATGTAGTACATGGGAGTGGATTTAGGGATTCTGAGGCCCTGGGCAAAAATCCAGGATGGGTCCCCAGAATGACTACCGCCCCCCCACTGGGCTAGGGCTGCCAGCCAATGGCTGCCATCCAGGGGGACATGGAGGGACAGGCACATGGGAGTACCACAGTCACACGCAATGTGACATCGGTTCTGAGGGAAACTGGAAGTGACATCACACTGCTTTGGAGGGAACCAGAAGTGACGTCATGCTGCTCTAGGAACTGCCAGAAAAGCACTGTGTGGCATCACTTCCTGATGTTCCCTGTATGTGATGTCACACCATCATGCCGGCAGCAATTATTTTACCAGAGGCAGGGAGGAAGCAACTTACCTTCCCTCTTCTCCTGCCTCCTCCTGGCTGAATGAGGGCCGGAAGTGGGGCGGCCGGAAGCAGGGGGTGGGGCTTCGTCATGTGCCCCGCCCCCCGTACCTCACCCGGGGGAACTGCGATCCCCCCCAAAATGACCTCTGAGGCACATGGGAGTACCACCGCCACACGCAATATGACATTGGTTCTGAGGGAAACTGGAAGTGACATCACACTGCTTTGGAGGGAACCAGAAGTGACGTCATGCTGCTCTAGGAACTGCCAGAAAAGCACTGTGTGGCATCACTTCCTGATGTTCCCTGTATGTGATGTCACACCATCATGCCGGCAGCAATTATTTTACCAGTTTTCTCCTGCTGCCTGAAGGGGTGGCGGTAGGAAGCGTGGGGTGCTGGTGGGAAGGCTCCTGCCTAGGGTTGCCAGCTCTGGGCTGGAAGATAAGAACATAAGAACATAAGAACATAAGAACATAAGAGATGCCAATGTTGGATCAGGCCAAAGGCCCATCCAGTCCAACACGCTGTATCACACAGTGGCCAGAAATACCAGTGCCATCAGGAGGTCCACAAGTGGGGCCCTTCAAAGCAGCCATTTTCTCCAGAGGAGCTGATCTCGGTCGGCTGGAGATCAGTTGCAAAAGCGGGAGATCTCCAGGCCCCACCGGGAGGCTGACAAGCCTACTCCTGCCATAGTAGGAGTCATGGCAACTTTATGCCAGGCCCACTGCTGGGCCGACCCCCTGTCACCAGGGTCCCAGCAAGGGGCAGCCCTCACCCTACGTGAGGTGAGTGAGAGCCACTGCTGCCACCGGAAGCTGTCTGCCCAAGCCTCAGATTGGGCGGGCATGGCCATCCACTGCCAAACTGGCTGGCTGAACCCCAGAAAGAGTGAGCATGAGCAGCCACTGCTGCTGGAGCCAGCTATCCCCCATCACCGGGGAGGCAGCGTTTGGGGAGGTGTCCCCGCCTCCAGCATGAGGCCACTAGACCACCCCTGGTGGATCAGAGCTTTTGCTGCCTTCCTCTGCCAAATCCATCTTTGGCCAGAGCTGCAGGGCCCATTGGACCATGAGAGCTATAGGCCATGGTACTGATTCAACAGGTAAAGCTTTTCCTCAATGCATCTCCATGCTGAGGGAAACCACGCCTGTTTCATTTTTTCCTTTCATACAGGCCCAATCAGGGGTCATTTCCTGCAGGAGTGGAGCTCCGGCAGTAAGGAGCTCAGGGGGCGGGCACATGCAACAAGCCCCACCCCCTGCTCCCAGCAGCCCTCGGTTGGGCCATGAGAAACAAGAAGCAGCCAGAAGTTGCTG